GTCCCATCGCTTTCCCAGGCCGATGGACGAGCACATATGAGTAAGCTGCCAGGAAAACCAACCAGCTGAGTACCCGGGGAGACATCATCTGGGGGGTTTGGTGGTCTGGGGCCAGGAGGTCGAGGAGCGGTTTATGGTCCGTCAGGATTGTGAATGGCCGACCGTACAAATAATGGTGGATTTTTTTCACCCCTGCCACAATAGCCAGCGCCTCCTTGTCAACCTGCGCATAGTTACGCTCGGCAGATGACAAGGTGCGAGAGTAATAAGCAACCGGGACCTCCCGGCCGTCTGGTAACTGGTGGCCCAAGACCGCCCCGACCCCATACGGAGAGGCATCGCAGGCCAGGGCCTCATTGAAGTGGGAGAGGACCGAGTTGGAGACAAGAAGGTCCTTTACTGCCTGGAAAGCGGCGGCGTGCTCTGGGCTCCAGACCCTCGGAGCGTTTTTATCTAGCAGGCGGTGCAGAGGTTCTGCCACCGTGGCCTTTAGAGGGAGAAAGGAGTGATAAAAATGTAACAGGCCTAAGAAAGCCTGTAATTCAGTCTTGGACGTAGGCGGGGGCGCCTGTGAGATAGCCGTCGTCTTTTCTTCCGTGGGGTGAATTCCCTGGGTGTCCACGGCGAACCCCAAGAACTCCACCTTGGGAACCCCGAGTAAGCATTTCTCTTGCTTGACTTTCAGGCCGGCCGTGTCGAAATGCTGGAGCACCGCCCGCAGCCTGTCGGCGAAGGTCGAGACATCCGGGGCCGCGATGAGCACATAATCTAGAAATGGCTGCACTCCTGAAATGCCTTTTAACAAAGTGCCCATGAACGATTGAAAAATTCCCGGTGCGACCGATACCCCAAACTGGAGCCTATGGACTTTGAAAGCCCCTTTGTGCATTGCTATCGTTTGGGCTTCTGCCGTGGCAGCATCCACCAGCAGTTGCTGGTAGGCCTGGCCAAGTCCAGCTTGCCAAAAACCCGAGCCCCAGCCAGTGCGGCTAACACGTGGCTGACCACCGGTACCGGATAAGCGTGGTCTTGGAGGGCTTTGTTCAGAGTGCACTTATAGTCCGCACAAATCTACACTTCGCCATTAGGCTTGACCGGGGTGACTATCGGGGTCTCCCACCATGCAGAAGCAATGGGCTCTAACACCCCCTGGGCCACCAAGCAATCAAGCTCCGCCTCGATCTTTGGCCTCATCGCAATGGGGGGATGTCTGGCCTTTACCCGGATGGGGTGGATAGCCGGGTTGAGGTTGAGGGAAATGGGGGCTCCTGTGTAGCGGCCGAGTGTGCCATTGAAGACCCTGGGGATCTCATTGCACACCGCTGCGAAATTCTCAGCCCGGAGCTGATTAATCCCCCCGATCGTTAATCTCAGGGGCCCGAACCAAGAAAGTCCCAGCAGACTGGAGAGCCTTCCCCCCACCACCAGCAAGTCCAATTTTCCATGGAAGTCCTGAAACTGCACCGTAAACTTGCCCCAGCCCCGCACCGCCACAGGGTTTTTGTTAAAGTCCCGTAACTTAAACCCCTGTGGCTTCCTCAGAGGGGGTCCCCCCCATGGGCAAAGCGAGCACAGCGTTTTCTCTGAAATTATGGAATAGTTAGAGCCAGTGTCCAGTTCCATGCTGCAGGGGAACCCCTCTATTAGCACCGTCACATGCACCTTATTTGGGCTATCGGGGGGCAAGTTACAAAGCTGGTGTGGCTGGTGGTGGGCAGAGAGGGTATGGAGGTCGGTGGGTTGATCTGCTGCTGTCTGGTGGGCTGAAGTCTTCTGGGGCTGTCGTCGGGAATGGCAGACCCGTGCCAGATGGCCTGGCTTGTTGCAGGAGTGGCAGACAGCGTCCCTGAAACGGCAACCCTGGTGTTCGTGCGCTTCCCCGCAGCTGGCACATTGGGATGATGCAGAGGAGGCTTTGGCCGCTGGTGCTCCCCCAGGGCGATGCTGCTGGGAGGCAGCGGACCTGGAGCACTTCCTCGTTCTCAGAGTCGTCAGACTCAAGCGTTGCTTTCATGCGATGCACCGCCCGCACTCGGCGGTCTTGGTGCGCCTTCTCGTAGGCCATGGACTCCCTGAGCACCTTATCTAGGGTCAGGTCGTCTTGGCTAACCAGTTTCCTACGGAGTTTGGTGGCCACCCGCTGGAGCCCAGCCAAGAACTCGGAGGCCGGCTCGTCCGGCCCCTGGACCCGCACAAAAAAGTCCATGCACTTGGCAAACTTTGTGGGTTTTGGTGAAAGGTGGTCGGTCAGTGCTTTCACCAGCACCACACAGGGCTCGTCCTTGGTCTGCTTTGGCACAATGAGGTCCTTAAGCAGCAAGACGGTGTCTATGCCGCAGAACTGGAGGAGATGGGCTTTTTTCTTACCCGGGTCTATGATGTCATGGCAGTCGAAGTAGTTCTCCAGGATCTCGAGTCAGGTCTCCCACTGTGCAGGGCGGGAGATGTCGAAAGCGGCGATGCTCTCCTGGGAGGTAGCCATCGTACTGCGTCCACGTGGTGAGAGTCGCTCGGGAGCGGCAGCGGCAACAATGGCGGGAGCGAGGCGGGAAGCGCTGCTGCTCTCGGGGTCAGCAAGGCAAGGTGCGGAGCGAGGAGCGGAGCAGTGAGCGGCAACCAGAGAACCAGCATGCGAAGCGGAGCGGCTTGCGGCAGTCTCGGCGTTGGGGCTTGATGCAGTGCTCGAATCTTTGTCTGGGTTGTTGTTCATGGGAGTTAAAATCCCACCTTCGTCGCCAGTGAAAAGTACTGAGACTTACTAGTGATTTCAGCTCTCATACTTTATTTCAGCTCAGAACAAGACGAGATACCCCAGCTCGCAGGCTGGTTTATATGTGCACAAACCCCACTCCCCAAACACACCCACACACAAGTGATTGGCTATTTACAGTGGCCAAGAGTTCCATAGGCTTTCGGCCAGGAGCCTAACCCGCCGATAGGTGCCGGCTAGGATCCGCTTATCCCATTGTTACTGGGAGCGAAGCTCAGTCGCTTCGCCTGACTGCGTGGCGAAATGGCCGTGCACGCGGTCTGATATGGATACATTACAGGCTGTATGTTCTCTTCTTGTAGCTCTAGAGCCTGCGTCCTCACAAAATGCTGGTTCTACTGATCTCCCAGCCACAGACCTGAAGCTCTATAAGGGGCAGATTTTGGGTGTTCTGCTAGTTAAAGAGAATTGTGGAGACATGTGGCTGATGTGGTCATAGTGGCCACAGTTACTTGCCAGCTAGAAAAAGGAAATATGGTTGCAGGAGAGAACTTGATCCCACTTTGGCAAAGCTCCCCGAGTATTCCAGGGCTCCTATTATTCATGTCATGGTCCACCCTATACTGGGGAAAGGGCTCTTTCCTATGTTCCATCACTTTTTTCTTCTGCTCTGTATGTGAGTGGTAGCTGGCTGCCAGGAGGAGAGGGAGCTACACTTGTGTGTACCAGTGTTCCCTGTGGGCTGAGTTAGTGTCAGCTAGCTCAGTTTTTAGCCTCTGGCTCACACATTTTTGTCTTCACTCAGGAAGGATGGCTCCAGAGAAAACTGATTTATGCAGTAGCCAAATCGCTGGTTCACAACTTTAATGCAAGTAGCTCACAAAGTAGAATTTTTGCTCACAAGACTCCACAACTTAGAGGGAGCACTGGTGTGTACTGACTAGCTACTTCCGTCTCTGGTGATAGGTGAGTTCCAGGGGTGCTATGGACTCTGGTGCTATAACTATACTCTCTGGTGCTATAACTATACTCTCTCCACAGTAGCACTTTGTGCATGAGCATCACCCCTGATATGTACACACACATGGGGGGGGGAGAGATCTTGGAGAATGGAAGGCAAGGAAAGAACTGCCTTTATGAGGACCTTGTGGGTTGTGATTCAAAGTATCCAAATCAATAATTTCAGGCAAATGTGATTTCTAAATCTGCATGCTAAATTTTGTTTGCATAATTTGGTAGTCTGTTCTTTAGTTGAAGAATATGGACAGTTGGCACCAATGTCCCTAGTCATTGGCTAAATAACAAAGATGGGGGCTAACAGAATGCGGGTTGAAGGAAACAGCAATTATCCACAGGCAAAAACACAGGTAGCTGAGACAGGGCAGGGAATCCCAAATCTAACTTCTGGCACATTTTCAAGTTTTCCTTCTAATTGCAAGGACCATGTGCTATTTTTAACAGCTTATATTTCCTAAATTCCTCAGTTCCTAATAGATTTTGCATTAGGAACAAAATTCTGTTTCATTCTATAACAACACACCCTGTGCAAAATCCTAGTTCCTTTAATGATCTTTAAAACCAATACTGATATAGAAAGGAGTAATGGAATCAGAGTATATATCTACACTACAGAATTAAGATTTTAATACTCGTGATGGTGTCACACAAAGAATCCTGGGAACTGTAGTTTAGTGCTGAGAAATCTAAAGATCCCTAGACTCTTTCATAAAACAAAAGTTCCAGGATTCCCTGAGTAGGGGAATGATTGCTTAACCGTTTTATGTTTGTGTAGATGTATCGTAAGAGTGCTGAGCATCCCAGTGCAACATAAGCCAATTTACTGTGTTTCCAGGTTGCATCTTTGCAGTGGTTATCACACACAACAAATCTTACTTACATAAATGCCACATGCTGACAAACAATAAAATACCACCAGAAAGCCCCTCATATTCAGCATGATGCTATTAATTAACATAAGAAAAGACAGAGGTCTTCAACCAACTCCTCTTTCTCTTTCAGAATAAAAGTTCTATTGGGAGATGAAGATAAGAGGATTTCAGGAAGAATGTCCCCAAGAAAATGGGGAACTGGGGAAAGTAGAAGAGCCCTCCAAAGTATGAAGAATTTCCATTCTTAAAGCTGTTAAGCCTGAAGTTTCTCTTATATTTCCTAGCTACAAAGCAATTGCATAACAATGACCAATTTTTGTGGCACTTGGACACTGCAATGCAATTATCATAGCACTGAGCTTCAAGCATATTTTGGATTCTTTCAAAAAGTGATTACTTACTTGAGTTTTTTGAAGGCCTCCCTGCCACCAGCAACATAATGTTCTCCACTCCGAATATCATCCAGCTGCCGGACACGGTGCCCACCACAAGGAGTGTAGATGTTCCGCACAGCCCCAAAGGGGGCATTCACCCCACTTGTCACCTCTTTCAGGAAGACATCAAAACTAGACACCTTCTTCTCATGGATGACCACTCGGCGCCCTGGGAAGAATGGATCTCCGTTACGATACACCATCACACTCTTCACCACAGGCTGCGTCAGGCATGTTGGCTTGGCACTAGGACTACTCATAGCTCTGCTTCTCCCTCTTCTGCTTCCTGTTTCTAAAGGAGACTTTGAGATGCGCACCTGTTGATTCAATAGGAATGGTGGTTATTGCCCACTGTCTCTCTCCTGCAGATGTGTTCAAATGTCCATTTGCAATACATGAACTGAATGTACACATACAGCAAGACTGGCACACTGCAGCTACCACCAATGGTATCTCTCTCTGGATAAAAGAACCAGAGGGATTCCTATCATTTCCCTAAGGTTTCAACTTCAGTGCCATGTAAAGAGTAACCTCTGCTAGGCAACCAGTTCTTGCCACTCTCTGGAGAATCGTACAGCCACAGGGTTTTTTTTTCTGTACTCTCACACAAACTACAGACATAAAGCTGAAAAGGTGACTAAGCAGAATAAATAAACCCCCTCTTAGTACCACAGAACCCTCACCTATGTAGTTATTTGAAAACACACATACACGGTGTCTTCCCTCATGTCCTCTTTCATGGAAGTTTTCTCCTCTATTCCTCTTTCATTTTCTCCATCTTGGAAATAAACCAAGTGAGATGGCCAGCAAAGGATAAAGTGCCCCACCATAGAGATGACAGAAAAATGGAGAGAGGAGTATTAGGGTAATATAATGGTTATTCAGAAAGCTGAAAGTGGAAATCAAGGAGAATAGTAAGATCACAATATATGCTAAGTGGTTCTTTACTGCTTTTATTTGCCAAATTCTAGCCTGAAATTATACCAGGAAAATTGGCAGAGAATGTCAGTCAGTCTTTGTTATGGCCCACAGGCCATTCAGAAGCAGAGTAAAACAGATAAAAACAGTGAATGCTTTTGGGTCAAGAATTATGAGAAAGGAAGATGGCACAGAATTATGGGATACTGCAAGACTTTATACCTTGGTTTTTGTTCTGTTCCCTTCAGTTACACAAAGTCCCTTCTAAAATCGTTGAGTGCTGAGGTGGCAGACCTGACTGTACCACTTCAGATTGCAGGTAAAGAAGTCATGTTTAAATGCACCCCTCACATCAAAAAGCTCTTTGAAAGCAGAAAACGATCATATCATGGGAAAGGGATTCTGGCCTAGTCTGTGTTCTTCTGTGCTAAATTTTCTGTTTGCAGGAGTGGGTTTTTCCCTCCATACTTTTATTTATTGTTTATTTAATTCATTTGTACCCTGTCTTTCACCCCAAAGTGTATCCAAAGCAGCTTACATCGTTCTCCTCTCCTCCATTTTATCCTCGCAACAACCCTGTGAGGAAGGGTAGGCTGCAAGTGTGTGACTGGCCCAAGGCCACCCAGCAAGCTTCCATTGCATGAGTGGGGATTAGATCTCCCAGATGCTAGCCCAGCACTCTTAACCACTACACCGCACTGGCTCTCACACTGGCTATATCATATATTCAGTTTGAAGTGGTATATTCAACCACTTAAAGATGGCTACACCTCGTTCTTTTGCCCATGTGGATCCAGCAGGAGCCGTACCACTTCATTCTGCTACATTTCACTCATTCGTACACTTGCCTTCCAACATACAGGCACAGTCGCACACAAACACATACACAGTGATTCATTTCTACCACAGGGCCAAAATTCACACATCCCATTTAAAGCCCTTCCAGTGGTGTTGGTGTACATGTGTGAGAAAGAGAAATGCAGTTGTGCTGGCACCATATTTTATATGGTCATGCAGGGAGGCTGACTTACAATCACAGTTCAGACTTACAAAGGGAGGCTGACTTACAATCACAGTTCAGCTGTACTATATATTACAGTGCACATGTGATCAGCTCAGGAGGTAACAAGGCTTAAACTGTTTTGTCTTGGGAGTCCCACTACCTACTTGGAAACCACAGTGGCTGACTGTACCAGTTACTCACTTTGCACATGTCCAGGAGCATTCTCATATTATCACTTTTGTGTTTTCCAGCCTTATCACTGGAAAATGAACTGGATGTTGGCAAAAGCTTGGCTCAGATGCAGAATAAAGGCTAGGTGTCCTACAGGTGTCATAACACGCACACTCATTCCTTCTCAACTTCTGCTCAAGGAATATCACGCCTTGGGTTCCTGCTATGTGTACCTCACTACAGGATCACATTTGACTAAGAAGCCATCTGTGCTTTCTCTTTGTCCCACTCAACATCTTCTACAAGGCTCCTGCTACTTTCCACCATTTGGGAAGCCCCAGACACATTCCTGTACTACTGCACTGGTCCCACAGAGTTAGGGGATTTTCATTTCCCACCCAGCACACTGAAAGCACCTGTAAGCTTCTCCCCTCCTGCCTGTGACTATATGGCATTGTTATCATAGGATCAAATTGTAAAATGCCTGCCCATTCTAGTAAGTCTTACACATACTTTACAGAAATGGAGAGCACGAAAAGGTGTGTTTAGTATCCTGAAATACATTGAGCAGGAAGAGAAGACACAATGCAAACAGGAGAGGAGTAAAGAGAACTGCACCTGAGCCCAGCAAAGTCCAAATTCTTCGTCTCACGTGGACAGTTTCTCTCTCTCTCTTCACCTAGCACTGGATTAGCTTTGAGCACCATGAGCTCCAACACAGGGCTGTAGGCTGGTTTTGCCGCTTCAGTTCCTGCCACCACAGAATACCTGTCTCAGTCTCCACTCTGGGTCTCCCAACGATAGGAAAGAGGGAAGTGCACACCACTGGCAGTTCATTCTCCGCTGCTCAGGGAACTTCTGCCAGGGGAGGAGGAGAATGCTATTATTTTTCCCCACCCTGCTGTTTCCATAGCAACATGCATAGCTCAAGAGCAAGGGGAGCATTGCAAGAGAACTCGAGAAAATACAAACTCCAAACCCCTGTCAATTCCAGGAGCAGCCATGAGGGGAAAGGAATGTTCTTTGATGCCTCAAGGAGCATAAAGGTAGCATTTCCCAATTGTTATCAGAGAATCCATGAGAAATTTAATAGAATATGGGGGGAGGTCTTGAACAACAAATGACACTCCAAATCTATTTATTACTATTCTGGTGGGTAGCTGTGTCGGTCTGAAGAAGCAAAACAAAGTTTGAGTCCAGTGGCACCTTTAAGACCAACAAAATTTTCTTCTGGGTTTTGTACGCACGCACATGTATCCAAAGAAATGTGTGTGCACACAAAAGCTTATATCAGGATAAAATTTTGTTGGTCTTAAAGGTGCCACTGGACTCAAACTTTGTTCTGCCATGTATTACTAAGTACTCTGCTCTATGCATAATTAATCTCTAATGGATACCTGGTGAGTCTGTGCTTGTACAAATGCAGGCAAGATTTCTGAAGGCAAAAAGAGAGAGAGAGAGAATGGCAGTTGCAGAATCCTCACTTTTTTTTGAATTCTGAGATAGATTAACTGTTCCTAACTGTCATCCCCTTTGGAGAAGGCTGGGCCTCAACAGCCTACAGACCCCAGAGTAGATGTTCCACTAATATTTGACAAGGTATCTCTTCCGGAAACTATACATCTTGAAGCACCCCTGAAAGATGGACAAGTAGCCAGTCCACCTCCCAGACTGCTGTTATCTGTTGGCGCTTACAATGGGGAAAAGGTACCTTCATATAACACATACTTTGGTTTAAAGCAGAAGCCAGGCTGAAAGGTAACTAATCCCTGCACGGTACCTGAAAAGAGATTACTCACGAATGCTGCTAAACAAGCAAGCATATTAAGCATCTCTCCCCTGAACATACACAGTTACAATCTTCAGTTACAATCTTGTAATCATCCATTCACCTTCCTGGCAGTTGCTCCACAAGTCAAGTCCAAAGTATTGCGCAGTGCCCAACGATGCACATTTTAGTAAACATGTGTCCCTCTTTGTCACTAGGGTACTGGGCCAGAGAAGAGGGGGGAGTGCAGGCCTGTTTGGGCCAAAGAGCCAGCACTGATGTAGTGGTTAAGAACAGCAGGCTCCAACATGGAGAACTGGGTCTGACTCCCCCCTCCTCCTCCCCGTGAAGCCTGCTGAGTGACCTTGGGCCAGTCTCAGCTTCTCTCAGAACTCTCTCAGCTCCACCCGCCTCAAAAAGTGCCTGTTGTAGGGAAGGGAGGGCATGAGATTGTAAACTGCTTTGAGACTCCTTGAGGCAGAGAGAATCAGGGTATAACAACCTTCTTGTTCTTCTGCCTATCTGTGCCACAATCAGGCCCACAGTCTGCTTGCTCATACCCAGGAGTGCCGCCCACAACTTTCCCTGCTTCCTCCACTTACCGGTATATTTATACCTCATAATCCAGAACACCGTTAAAGTTCTACATAACTGGTAAAATTTCATTTGCTTCAATGCAAAATTTTATAAAGATTTCATTTTACATCATTTGTAAAATTTCATTTGTTTACACTACTGCACCTACATCACACTGCTAATCTATTGTCAGCATAAAAAGAAATGTAAGTTTTTTTCAAAAACACTAACAAGCTTCTTCCAGCAGCTTCTAAAACCAAAAATCTCACTTGCAACCTACTTCCTCACACCAAAGCGAACAAACCACAGAGGTGTGATTGAGAGACATTTTCTGCTTGTGTTCTGATCATACTAGAATGTAGAAGAAATTTCATAACTGTTAATAAAGTAGGCTTTTATTCAATTATAGAAAGATAACTGGAAGGTTAATCAAAGGCACACTGCATACTACTGATAAGACATATCTTGTCTACTATACCTAAAATTGTTTGGGGGTGTTTTCTCATTCTGCCTAAGCAAGTGAATAATATATCAAGCCAATAGGAGGCAAGCAAGGTTGATGTTGCTACTTCCTGGATCAAGAAAGATCTGCTTGTATTTTGGCTTCTACCAGCATACTAGGATGCTATATTACATGTTATATTTGTAATCCACATTTTAGCCAATATTGGCTCCTTAAGTGACCTACAATAGTTAAAATCCATCACAATGATGCAGTTGGCAATATAAAAGATATAGAGAACAGAGAGAAACAAATATAAAACAGGTTAAGCAGTATTCAAAATACCTTCCCAACAACGTCCTGAAAGTGCAAATAGATTTTA